CCAGCGCACTCACCTGTATTATTTGGCCCCCAGCAGCACCCCCATTTATGCATGTTCAGGTGAGTGCAGCCAACCCCCCCTTGTTTCATATATATATATTTGGGAGTCTAGCCAACTCCCTGGTTTTGCACCCCTCCCTGTCACAGGTGCCTCATCCCAGGGCCCTATTTAGCCTTGTACTGCAGAGAGCCCCAGATGGAATTTTTTCCTCAAGTAAGTGGTTAATCTCATAAGAGCAGACATTAGGCTGTTAGTGTAGGACCTGCCAAAGATGGGGTACATTGACGTTGTGGCAGGCTTATACAATGTATGATCATATAATGTAACTAAACCCCCATTATTTTTGCCTAGATTAGGTGTTTTTAAAAAAACTAATAAAATCTGTCAACATTGAAGTTGCCGTTTAGTGGATAGGTGAGTGCGCTGGATCTTGTGTATTGTATTATTTGGCCCCCAGCAGCACCCCCATTTATGCATGTTCAGGTGAGTGCAGCCAACCCCCCCTTGTTTCATATATATATATATATATATATATATAACAAGAGGGAATATGTTTTTAGTTTAGTAGCCTACCAACATTGTAAACGAAATAAAGTGGATTTTTGGACTGTATCTGTCTATAGAACAAACTCCACCATTTGTTCTTGATCCTGGGGAAGTTTAAATCTCTCCCGGTTGCATAAAATGAATAATGTTTCTGTGTCAATACTTTTTATAATGGCTAAATCATGCTGATCCTACAATTCCACTGAGCAGAAATGTCTCCTGAGGGAAGTATTGAAGCATGAAAGATAATTTTCCCTGGCGAAGGCATCCTATAATTCTGAGTGATGACACTGTACGAACAACAGTCGCCAGTGTCACATTTAATAATGAAAGTTTGACCTTACTTGAATTTACAATGAATATTAAATTTAATTATTTATGATTCATAAATCCAAAGAAACATTCCACTTCCACATCCATCCCACTGCAGACAATTGGTAGCTAATCAGCACAGTAACCATACTCCGTAAAATTCCTAAGCAGGCCAACAAATCTTGTTCCTAATATGGTTGCAATCAAAATTAAACATTGTTCCCACCGTCCAACAAATAAACTGGCATAGAATGGAGCGAATTAAGCACCCATAGCTGTACCACACCTTAATGACACTTCATTCTCTAGCTTTGTTTGCTTGCTCTTAGAGAATGTTGTACTGTGTAATTAAATTTGGAAGACCCATGTATCAGGTCCCTTTGAATGGTAACAAACTTACTTTCAGGTTCCTTCACAAATAACTGTCTGAGCTCTTTCAGAAAACCTATTTGTACAATATAACTATTACCCAAAAATACATATATTTTTCCAGAGCTCTATACAATTTTGTCAAAATATGTAACTCATATTTGGAACTAAACTTCTAACTTCTTGTAATATGTAAACAATAATTATCATATCATATGTTTGGAATATGGAATATGTAGCTAGCACATAACTGTAGGATAAAACAGAAATGTCATATGTAGATTGCTATGCAGTGATACCAAACAAGTCAAAATTATACAACTTAAGACAATAATAATTTTTCATAATTGTTTATCCCTTTCATAAAAAGTGTGGGGATAAAACATTTCAAAGAGTCAATCAGAAATACTTCTTAACTTATCATGTTTAGACTTAAAAGAAAAAAATAGGAGGTAAATTATGTACGATAAGTGAATGGGACATGTATAGCTAATTTTCACCATGTATTGCTCTGTACGCATCTTGTTGGGAAGAAAGAGGTTATAATTGTGTCCATGTGGAAACTTGGCAAGTTACAAATATTTATTTCAAAACTAATCTGCCACTAATGTTTTCTCCCTAAAGGGGTACTTTAAAAACTATAATTCATACCCTCTAACTCTATCATAGTCCTAAAACTACCTCGAACATCATGATTGTTCCCTCAAAAATAGGCATGCAACTACTTCAGATATACTTCAGATATATCCAACTTAAAGACTTTGCACGTGCAGCAGCAAGAGCACCATTGACATTTTTCTAAACACTTTGAATGAAAGAAACCCCTCAAAAAGGCCTGATAACATCCAGCTATTCCCAGCTAAGTGCCCCCGAAGGAGACGAAGACAAAAACACTCTCACATATGCAGGGCTGCCATTAGGGGGCCACAACCATGACGGTTGTCACGGGCCCGGCGGCACTGGGCTGCCCGGCCCCCACGTGTAGCGGCGGAACTGCACCGGGGCCCGCACGATGTTGGGGCCTATCGGGTGGCCCACGCACTTAAGGCCACCCGATGGGCCCTATATCTTCAGGGGCCGGTAAGCGTTGCGGCCGTGCAATAGCTCGACCGGGCACCTTTAAAAAAAAAATCACAGCTGCAAGGTACTGCTGGGAGGAAGTGGCCGTCACTTCCACCCAGCTCCCTCCGCTCTGCGCCGCGCGGAAGGGATGAAAGCCAGGCCGCAGGAGCCAGGCTGACTCCCATCAGCCACAGTCTTACACCTGCAAAAAAAAGGTAAGCAAAATTTGCTGTATTTGTGTATGTTAGTATGTATGTATGTGTGTATGTCAGTATGTATCTATGTATGTATGTCAGTATGTATGTGTGTATGTCAGTATGTATGAATGTCAGTATGTATCTATGTATGTGTGTGTGTCAGTATGTCAGTATGTGTGTGTATGTATGTGTGTATCTATGTATGTATGTCAGTATGTATGTATGTTAGTATGTGTGTATTTATGTGTGTCAGTATGTCGGTATGTATGTATGTGTGTGTATGTATGTGTGTGTCTGTATGTGTGTCTGTCAGTATGTGTGTCTGTCAGTATGTGTGTCAGTATGTATGTATGTCAGTATGTTTGTGTGTATGTATGTGTCAGTATGTATGTATGTCAGTATGTATGTCTGTGTGTAAGTCAGTATGTTTATGTATGCATGTCTGTCTGTGTGTATGTATCTGTATGTATTTCAATATGTATGTATATGTCTGTGTCTGTCTGTTTATATATGTATGTATGTCAGTATGTGTGTGTATTTATGTCCTTATGCGTGTGTGCAGTGTGCATAGGAATTTGTTCATATTGTTTATTGTCCGGCCCCCAACAGTGTCTTAGGGACCGTGAACTGGACCCCTGTTTAAAAAGTTTGAGGACCCCTGTCATTAGGTATGGATGTATATATGTATGTATGTCATTATGAATGTATGTCTGTATGTATGCATGTATGTCAGTATGTCAGTATGAATGTATGTCTGCATGTCATTATGAACGTATGTCTGTGTGTATGGATGTCAATATGCATGTATGTCAGTATGTCTGTATATATGCATGTATGCCAGTATGAATGTATGTCTGTGTATGTATGTATGTATGTATGTATGTGTGTATGGATGTCAGTGTCTGTATGAATGTATGTCTGTATGTATGTATATATGTATGTATGTCTGTGTGTATGTATGTCGGTGTATGTATGTGTATGTCTTCATGCATGTGTGTCTGTATGTATGTTAGTATGTGTCTATCTGTCACTATGTATGCCTGTGTGTCTGTAAATGTGTGTATGTCTCAGTATGTGTGTGTCAGTATGTATGCCTGTATGTTTATTTCAGTATGTGTGTCTGTTAGTATGTATCTGTGTGTGTGTGTATCTTTGTCCTTTTGTATCAGTGTATGTTTTTGTGTCTATGTGTGTATTCCTGTGGGTGGGATTTGGAGGCGGACCCTGTGGGCGGGATTGGAGGCGGGCCCCAGGGCGCCCAGACCCTGAGCTGAGTTAGGGGCCCCAAAATTTCTGGTGGCGGCCCTGCACATATGTTAAACAATAGGAAACAGACTTACAATAGACATTAGAGGGTGGGGACTGGCAAGACATCTGGGAGGCAGCAGCTATGCGTGACTTTACAGGAACAGTCGTTTAACAGGCTTATGAAGTGGTATACCACTCCTGTAAAACAATTCAGAATGGGGAAAACTCCCACAGATGTTTGCTGGCGGGTTGTGGGGAAAAAGGGACATATATCCACATGGTGTGGGATTGCCCCAAAGAAAGCCAATACTGGACAATGATGGAAAAGCTACAGTTGCAAGAAAAAGTATGTGAACCCTTTGGAATGATATGGATTTCTGCACAAATTGGTCATAAAATGTGATCTGATCATCATCTAAGTCACAACAATAGACAATCACATTCTGCTTAACCCCTTAAGGACCAAACATCTGGAATAAAAGGGAATCATGACATGTCACACGTCATGTGTCCATAAGGGATTAAACTAATAACACACAAAGAATGAAATGTTGCCATGTTTTTATTGAACACACCATGTAAACATTCACAGTGCAGGTGGAAAAAGTATGTGAACCCCTAGACTAATGACATCTCCAAGAGCTAATTGGAGTGAGATGTCAGCCAACTGCAGTCCAATCAATGAGATGAGATTGGAGGTGTTGGTTACAGCTGCCCTGCCCTATAAAAAACACACACCAGTTCTGGGTTTGCTTTTCACAAGAAACATTGCCTGATGTCAATGATGCCTCGCACAAAAGAGCTCTCAGAAGACCTACAATTAAGAATTGTTGACTTGCATAAAGCTGGAAAGGGTTATAAAAGTATCTCCAAAAGCCTTGCTGTTCATCAGTCCACGCTAAGACAAATTGTCTATAAATGGAGAAAGTTCAACACTGCTGCTACTCTCCGTAGGAGTGGCCGTCCTGTAAAGATGACTGCAAGAGCACAGTGTAGACTGCTCAACGAGGTGAAGAAATATCCTAGAGTGTCAGCTAAAGACTTACAAAAGTCACTGGCAAATGCTAACATGCCTGTTAGCGAATCTACAATACGTAAAACACTAAACCACAATGGATTTCATGGGAGGATACCACAGAGGAAGCCACTGCTGTCCAAACAAAACATTGCTGCACATTTACAGTTTGCACAAGAGCACATGGATGTTCCACAGCAGTACTGGCAAAATATTCTGTGGACAGATGAAACCAGGTTGAGTTGTTTGGGAAAAAAGGCACAGCACACCAACATCAAAACCTCATCCCAACTGTGAAGTATGGTGGTGGGGGCATCATGGTTTGGGGCTGCTTTGCTGTGCCAGGGCCTGGACGGATTGCTATCATCGAAGGAAAAATTAATTCCCAAGTTTATCAAGACACTTTGCAGGAGAACTTAAGGCCATCTGTCTACCAGCTGAAGCTCAACAGAAGATGGGTGTTGCAACAGGACAATGACCCAAAGCATAGAAGTAAATCAACAACAGAATGGCTTAAACAGAAGAAAATACGCCTTCTGAAGTGGGCCAGTCAGAGTCCTGACCTCAACCCAACTGAGATGCTGTGGCATGACCTCAAGAAATCGATTCACACCAGACATCCCAAGAATATTGCTGATCTGAAACAGTTCTGTAAAGAGGAATGGTCAAGAATTACTCCTGACCGTTGTGCACGTCTGATCTGCAACTACAGGAAACATTTGGTTGAAGTTTTTGCTGCCAAAGGAGGTTCAACCAGTTATTATATCCAAGGGTTCACATACTTTTTCCACCTGCACTGTGAATGTTTACATGGTGTGTTCAATAAAAACATGGCAACATTTCATTCTTTGTGTGTTATTAGTTTAAGCAGACTGTGATTGTCTATTGTTGTGACTTAGATGATGATCAGATCACATTTTATGACCAATTTGTGCAGAAATCCATATCATTCCAAAGGGTTCACATACTTTTTCTTGCAACTGTATTAGTGGACATCATGCACAGATCCTTAAGTAAAGATCCATGGCCGTACCTCTTAACAAAACCTTTAGATGGACTGACAGTACGAGAACAGAAATTAGTCAATAAGGTTACACTAGCAGCGAGGAGAGTGTTAGCAAAAGGGTGGCTCAGTATGGAAACATCATTAAGGGACAAGATTATCTCTAAAATTAAGGATATCTACTTAATTGACAAAATGACGGCCCAGGTACGAAACACATATACCACATTTAGCAAGAGATGGCAACCCTGGAAAGACTACTCAGACGGACGTGGGAACTCTTAATGAATCAGAGATGGGATCCGCTAACCCATGAAGGAGTCACCATCGATAAATACCAAACCGGCACCCCTCCCCTCCCTTACTACCTCCACACAGGGCCAGATTAACAAAGGGCTGATGGAGCTGCAGCTCTAGGCCCAGGCCAATGGAATAGGCCCATTGATTTAAAAATATATATATTATTTTTTTTAAATGTTTTTTAAATTTGTATTTTTTACACACTACTGGCCGGTATTTATTTGAGGCTGCCTGGCCAGTGCCGATGTTGCAGTTATACCGGCAATACAAATGCCGGTATTTTTCTCAGTATAAACAGAGATTGCTCTGCAATACCAGCACCGCTGGTGTGTGAAGAGAGGCAGGGATAGGAAGTTACAGCATATACCTGCATTTCTTTACTTACTGATCCGCCGGGGAGCAGCTACACAGCACAGAAAGTGCAGACAGCAGCTCCCAGCCTGCAGAGACAGACTACAGCTCAGGGAAGTGAGGGATGGGGTAAAGGCTGCTGGGAAACATGGGGACACTGAGACACTAGGGGACACTGTGAGACATTGGGACACAGGGAGACCTCAGGGGATGCTGAGACATGGGGACACAGATACACATGGGGACACAGATACAAATGGGGACACTTGGGGACACTGAGACATAGAGACAATGAGACACTAGGGTACGCTGGAAGATATGGGGACATAGACAGTTGGGGACACAGAAACACATGGAGACACTTAGGGACACTGAGACATGGGGAAACAGACACACATGGGGACACTTAGACATGGGGAAACAGACACTTGGGGACACTGGGAGACATGGGGACACTGAGACACTAGGGACACAATGTCCCTCAGTGTCCCCGTGTCTCCCAGCCAGTGTCTGTGTTCCCATGTCTCCCAGTATCTCTAGTGACTGTGTGCCCATGTCTCCCAGTGTCCCTAGTGTCTCAGTGTCCCCACGTCTCCCAGTGTGTGTGTCCCCATGTCTCCCAGTGTGTGTGTCCCCATGTCTCCCAGTGTCGCCATGTCTCTGTGTCCTCTAGCGACATGAGGACACTGGACAACATGGGGACACAGAGACATGGGGATACTGGGAGACATGGGGCACTGAGACACTGTGATACATAGGGACACTGTGATACATAGTCTGTGTCTCCCAGTGTCCCCAAGTCTTCCAGTGTCCCGAAGTGTCTCAGTGTCCCCATGTCTATCAGTGTTCCCTAGTGACATGGGGACACTGGGCGACATGGGAACACTGGGTGACATGGGGACACTGGGAGCAATCCATCTATACAGCAGAATCAAACTGTAAGTAGTTTTTTGGTGATTTTACAGAATTTTCTCTTATGTCACTCCTTGTGATTTACATCATGTGCCGTCACGCATACATTATTAGTTATGCAAATTAGTAAGGCCTGTATTTATTTCCAAGAAAGGTGGCAACCCTAACTACTCTTCACATACTCTTGCTTAAGTATAGAAACTTAAGAGGGATGTATGGAAACAAAGCTTGTGTGGACTGGCTGAAATTAAATTAGTTAAGGTAATGCTGACTTTGGTCTCTCTACACTCACTACATACACCTTTTCTCTGTCTCCGATTGTATATCAGGAGCTTCTGCCTGCTAGTAAGAAGGTAAGGAGACAAGTGGACATGTGAGTTCTAGGGAACAGTCTTTCGAACCATGGAGCGAGCATATCATTAGATGCATTTATGCCAAGCTCAGGATGCTGTTGGCCAGCATGCATGATTGCCAGGCAGCCTGACATGCATTCATGCCAGGATAGCCTTCCAATTCTTTGAGCAGACATGCCTCCTTTTTTGGCATGTTCGTCCCTTTCAAATGCTCTCGTTACATGATCCACGTCAGTGGCCCACCCTTTTACACCGCCCATTGAATGCCTGCTTCACTGGACACTGCTGTTATGGGGTATGGATTTACTTGAAAGATGAAAGCATGAATTAGAGAGAGATTAGCATATTTTAAGAGAATCTGAGTTTTCTTATAGCTGCATCCTATGAGTTTCCCTCCGGCAACATCTCCACCAGATAAGATTCTGTACTTAGGCCCCTCATAATTGTTAGCACCAGGCCCGCTGGGCTCTTAATCTAGCCCTGATTAAAAGTAGTTTAGAGGCTGCTGAGGTCAGGGGTGGGTTAATGGGAATATTGAAGTCCCAGAGAATTAGGGTTGGTATGTTAGAGGAGAGGAAGTAAGGTAGCCAGGCAGCCAAGTGGTCAAGGAAAAGGAGAGGGAAACCAGGGGGGCGATAAATAACAGCAATGTTAGCAGAGAAGGGTTTGAATAAGCGAATTGAGTGAATTTCGAAGGAGGAGAGAGAGGGAAGGGGGGGTGGGTAGAGTTTTGAAGGAGCAGTGAGGTGAAAGGAGAAACCCTACACCGCCACCTTTACTGTCAGACTGTCTTGGGTTGTGTTTAAACTGTAGACCACCATAAGATAATGAGGCAGGGGTAGCCGTGTCAGAAGGAGAGTGCCAAGTTTCTGTTAAAACAAGTAAGTTAAGGGAGCGTGAGAGGAATACATCACGGATGGAAGTAGATTTAGTTATGTTGCACACAGAGCGTGCATTCCAGAGGGCAGAATGGAAGGAGGGCTTAGAGGGAGAGTTACCTGGGATGGATATAAGATTGGCGAGGTTTCTAGGGTGGACACAAGGTAGGTGGGTAGAGGCAGGACCAGGGTTTGGAGAGACATCGCCAGCTGCCAGGAGTAGAAGTATAGAAAGTAAGAGAATGTGGGAGCAAGATTTAAATATTTTGGTTGAATGTCTGTATTTTGAGGATTTACAAGGAGTTGGAGGGGAAAGGGTGGATAGGTATGAGTATAGTGTATGGGATGAATAAAAAGAAGAGGATAGAGAATGGCCCCGCCCCGGGAACTAACCACACGCCTCATAGGACAACCCCAAGCACCGGACTTGGAGGTCCCCCATACCTACGACAGACTCAATAAACACGGAGACCACACACACACACACACACACACACACCCCCCAAAAAAAAAAAAACAACGAACTACAACAACGCACAGATAAATCACCCCCAAAACAGAGGCTGAAGTTAATGATACCCTATAGGTTGGGGCATGATCACCGCATACCACACAGTAAGAGTAACAAACCAGCCCATCCACAACGAACAACGAGTCCCAACATCCGAAGACAACAACAGACTGAAACCCACACCTAACACATAATACAAACCCCGTAGAAACAGAAGGGAGGCCTACAGACAAAAGCTAATAACACACACGGGCACTACCCGGGACAATACCCCGCCTACCTAGACCGCCACACTCAATCAGAAGCCAACCTCACACCACCGAAGGAGATCGATGAACCAATTCTTCAGATGGACCTAGATAACCCCAATGGACCCACAAGTCCATCGCCATCACTAGACAAAAGCTAAAGGTGCTCACCGCTCTCACTACACTCATCATCCCCGCAGGTCTACGAACCCTGTTAGACTTAAGGTCCCGCTGCCACACACCCACAATGAAATAAACACGGCCGCCACAAAACACACTCAACCCCCACATACCACATAACATACCCCGCACTAACAGAGTGGATACCGAAAAGAAGAAGACCGACCACACACACACAGACAATATTAAAGACAATACACCACACACCTAGACCGACACACACATCCAGAAGCCCAACACACCACACCAATAGGGATTGACGACACGACGCCCAGAAGGGTCATGATACATTTATACAGACCTATGCGCCCATCGCAACAGATGGAACAATACTAACTGTGCTCAATGTTCTCACTATGTTTCACATCTATGGAGGCCTGCGAGCCTCGCTGTTTTAAAGGTTCCACTGTTATCTGTTTCTACTGTAAGGAAAATTGCAACCAAAACGTAATGATATGAGCTTTTTAATCATATACACATCCTCTCCCATGCATACCTCCAAGTGAAAGCTATGATTATAATGTAAAGTTACTTTAACTCTTTAAACATATTAATACATTTATATTACACAGCTACACAGTGCCACAATGGCAACACGGCAACTAATAACGGGCCACCCTTTATACTCCATTTCATTTAGCAACAACTCACATCTGAGTACACCAAGAGCTGAATGCCCGAACTCCCCACAACTTGCTTGCATTATAAACACATTTATAGTCTGCACCATTTATATGCACCAAGGCAGAAGACAAAAGCCTATGACTGTGAAAGTAGACGGGCCAGCCGAAGTTATGCAATGTACTTGTTGTGTTATAATGGGTGCCAGTGAACTCGTTAGACCGGACCCCACTTGGAGAGTAGACTACTGACCGAAAAACGATGTTGCCATTCCTGCAAACACAAATGCCTACAAATAGCAACAAACGATAATCGCAGTAAATCTGCATCCAGGGCCGGTGCTTGGATTTTTAGGTACATAGGCGAAGATGCCTTTTTCCGCCCCCCCGCACCCCCCCCGAAAAAAAACATCTTCATCTATGTGCCTCTTAACCAGCCCCTCTCCCCTCCCTGACCATTAGTAGTCCCTTCCCTTCCCTGTCCCTTAGTGTTCTTCTCCCCTCCCCCTCTTTTCCCTGTCTCTTGGTGTTTCTCTCCCATTCCCTCCCTGTCCCTTGGTGCACCCCACACCCCTTTAGTGGTCACACTCCCCTTCCTGGTGTGCCTCCTACCTCTATTGTTGCATTGCCGAGTGGAGCAGATCCCCTAAAGGAGCTTCAGTTTTCTGTACCCGGCCGGACTGACAGGGAGTGCTCTCTCTGTGAGCACCTCCTGTCAGTCTGGCCAGGTACAGGAAACAGAAGTTCCTGTACCGCGCTCTGCTCCGCTACACTCTGTACACACTGACAGTCACACACTCAATGACAAACACACAGACGCCACTGACAGACACAGACTCATTGATCTGACACACACTCATTCATTGACACTGACAGACCCACACTGATTGACACTCATTGACAGACACACTGATAGTCACACACAGACTCAATGACAAACATACTCTCACTGATTTGACAGACAGACACACTCATACACTCGCACACACACTCATACAATCACTCACAGACACACACACTGTCACTCACAGACACACACACTTTGTCACTTACACACACTTTGTCACTTACACACAGACTTACACTTTGTCACCACACACACTGTCACCACAGACGCATACACTTTGTCACTCACACACACTGTCACTCACAGACGCACACACTTTGTCACTCACACACACTGTCACTCACAGACACACACACTTTGTCACTTACACACACTTTGTCACTTACACTCACAGACGTACACACTTTGTCACTCACACACACTGTCACTCACAGACGTACACACTTTGTCAATCACACACACTGTCACTCACAGACGCACACACTTTGTCACTCACACACACTGTCACTCACAGACACACACATTGTCACACACACACTGTCACTCACACACACTGTCGCTCACAGACACACACACTCTGTCACTCACAGACACACACACACTGTCACTCACAGACACAGACACACACACACAGTCACTCACAGACACACACCCTGTCACTCACAGACACACACAGTCACTCACAGACACACACACACACACACTGTCACCACAGACACACACACACACTTTTCACTTACACACACTTTGTTTACACTCACAGACGCACACACCCTTTGTCACTCACACACACTGTCACTCAAGCAGACGCATACACACTCCTTTGTCACCACACACACTGTCACTCACAGA